ATAATAAGTTCCCTAAAGGTGTGTTTTGGGTGATTTTTTAAAAGTATTTTTAGAATTTATAATTTCTCTTTAAGTACTTTAAAAACAAAATAGTGTTTGAACCGCCTTACTACCCACCACCACCCACCAACCTCCACCACCCCACCACTACCGCCATCGCCATTCCACCACCACAACTACCCTCATTGCCCCACCACCATCACCACTGTCACTGCCACCACCTCTTCTGTCACAACCACCACTACCACACCCATTGTCTCACCACCACCCACCCACCATTATCATCGCTATTGTCACCCTACCACAAACCACTACCATCGTTATTGCCATCTTACCACCCCCACCATTGCTGCCACCCTACCACCACCGCCCCCACTATCACCATTATCACAACAACCACCCCCATTATCACCATTATCACAACAACCACCACCACCACCACCTCTGCCACAACAACCACCACCACCACTATTACCCCACCACCAACACCACTGTCACCACCCCCACCACTACCACTATCCCACCTCCCCTAACGCCCAACCCCACCCCCCACAACCATCACCACGCCACTCCAACAACATCGTCGCATTCACTACCCTTACCACCACCACTCATAACCGATTGTTACCATTGTCATCCACCAATCATTATCGTCATTTTATTCTTATATTTATTATTACTATCGCCATCATTCCACTACCACAGTTGCCCATCATCAGCACCCACCACCACCATTATTACCCACCATCATCAGTCGTTGTCCACCATTGTTGCCAGCCACTATCACCCGCATCCACCACATCTATCGCCACTAACAACCGCCATCCGTCATCGTTTACTACTGTTGTCACTCATTGCCACCCACCCCCACCACACCTATCACCACCACCACTATCGTCATTCGTCATTACCGATCATATTGTCGCTTAAAAACACCCATCGTCGCCCATCACCACCATTGTCATAGCTTACCATCGCCGCCACCACAGTCATCGCCCCACAACCACCATTGTCAACCACTTTCACTGTCGCCCACCACCACTCACACCCACACCCACCACCACAACTATTGTCACTCAAAACCCATCACCACCATCACCATTGCGACCCCACGGCTGCCACCACCACAATCATCATCGTTTTTCACCACCACCATTACCACCGGTGCTTAAATTTTTTTTTCTCCTCTCTGTTTTATGATTTGATTTTGGATGTGAATACAAATATATTTATTGTTGACTATTTTTTTTATTACTCCATGTCTTCAGAAATGAGAAATAACTAATATTTTTATATGGTTCCTCAAGCAGACAACGTCCAGATTACTAACAATTTTTTATCATAAGTTTGTCACATGTTTAAATATGGATAAAAAATAATTTGAATAATTCCTAACTAAATTTTTACTCAAATTTTGGTTAAATAACTACCATAATTATATATTTTTGGTTATGAACTATCCAAATTTTGATCAAAAACTACTCATGTTACAAATTTTTTGTCAAGAACTACCCAAATTTTCTTTAAGAACTATCAAAATTATTTTTTATCCATATTATAGGTATTACGTGACAAGTTTATGATAAAAAAATGTTAATAATTTAAACATTGTCTGCTTGAGGGATCATATAAAAACACTAGTTATTATCTGTACCAAAAGGCACAAAGTAATAACAAATGATAAACAATAAACATATTTGTATTCATATCCAAAATTATATCACAAACATAGAGGAGTGATAAATGAATTTAATCATCAATTGTAGTGGGGGTAAGAGGTAGTGGGCGACAATGATGGTGGTAGTAGGAGACGATGATGGTTGCGGTGGGTGGCAATGACTGTGGTAGCGACGGTGGTAGAAATGGTGGCGGCAACGACGACGATGGCGGCGGCAGTGGTGGAACGGTTTCAAACACTATTTTTTTAAAAGTATTTATGAGAAATAATTCTTAGAAGTATTTTTAAAAAGTCACTGCAAACACACTCTTAGAGTCCTGTTTTTCCTATTAAATTTAGGGTATTAATATTAACCGTTAGATTAATTTTAAAGTAAAATTTAACACGATCTCAATTCCGAATAGTAAAAATTATTTTTTTTATCTTTTAAAATTTGAATTGTAAGCTATTTTATTATATAGACTAGTTATTGTCTATGCCTGAAGGCACAAAGTAATAAAAAATTATAAATAATAAATATATTTGTATTCATATTCAAACTCAAATCACAAACATAGAAAAGATATAAAAAAATTTAAGTATCAGTTTGTAGTGGGGGTGAGAGGTGGTAGGCGACAATGGTGGTGATGGGAGACGGTAATGGTTGTGATAGGTGGCAATTACCGTGGTGGCGGCGAGGACGATGGTGGTGGTGGGGGCGACAGTGGTGGCAGTGGCGATGGTGGTGGCAGTGGGGCAGTTTCAAACACTATTTTTTAAAAAATATTTATGAGAAATGATTTTTAAAAATACTTTTAAAATTCACTCCAAACACACCATTAGGGGCTTATTTTTCTTATTAAATTTAGGGTGTTAATATTAGTCATTAGATTAACTTTAAAGTAAAATTTAAAGCGATCTCAATCGCGAATAACAATAGTAATTTTGTATATCTTTTACAATTTGAATTGTAAGCTACTTTCTTATATAGATATTCGATACTTGAGGGATTAAAATGATCAAAAAAAAAGTCTTAGAGGTTAAAATGAAACAAATTTCATACATTGAAGATCTTCATGTAATTATCCCAAAAGATTGTGGATATTATTTTTAGACCAATATAAAATAACTAGTAATTGTCAGTACCTAAAGGCACGGAGTAACCAAAAAAAAAATCAATATATTGTGTCTCCTCATCTTTGTATCACGACTATGTTATCACAAAAAATTTAACTAACAATTTCAATGGACCTCATGAATCTGTATCACTAAAAACTCATCATTCCTTAATTCAATGTATAGACCATAAAAAAAAAATAACTAGAATCAGAATTTATCTAAACCTCAAAATGAAACAACTAAGCAAGTATATCCAAAATCCTTCCATTGCATTCTTATCATATCACCAATTCTCTGTAGACAACACATTCAGGCTATTCCTTCCATCAGTCTTGATAACAATCATACAATTCTAACACAGCATCTAAAAAAAAGGCGACACTATATGACGTCAAATAAGCTCCAAAAGTCATGTATTTATTAAAAAAGAGGGGAGAGATTTTGAAGCACCTTTGCCCACAATCTACAATGAACAGCTTCGATCAGTTTGATTCTAATGTTCTATGATTCTCACTTCTTCAATAATAAGGTAGAGAAAAAGAAGCGTGAACAATAAGTATAAAATTGTCATGTGTCTCTAACTATCGAAGTAGAAAAACTTAATTTTTCATAATCTCAAGGGCTAAAATTACTTATTGAGACAAAACAACAAAGATATTGGAATCAAACATTTACAGTGGCTTTTCAACTTGAAAATTTTTAAAGTCCACTGTCCAAACTAATTTTGTATTAACAGTCATATAACTGAAACAATTAGCAATTACATTATCAATTCAGCATGGATCTGTTCAGGCATTAAAAAGGAAGTATTCGTATTCGTATGAATATCGGTAGATATGATTTTTCTTTAAGGATTATTTAAAAGAAAAGTGTATAAAATAATTTAAGCAATTGATGAAAAATTGAAAATTGGTTGGGGAATCTGATGCCAGTGCTTGTTGAGAACGGCGGCAACGGTCACTTTCATAGGAACAGAAGACTCAAACATCAATTATAGGTCTGAACGCGGAGATTATCGCGCGAGCTACAAACCAGTGACCATTTCCACCCGCTAACTACCCCACCTCCACAAAATCAACACTAAACACTATAACACAAGGAGGAAGAGAACAAGTCGATCGAAGAGCACTGGAAAGCGCTCCGAGAAAATACCTCATTCAACTTCGTCGTCAAATTTTGAATTCAAGCAACAAATTTGTTGAAAATTGCTCATATTCAGCATTTGCTGTTCAATTATCGAGCTCGAGGCTTTGTACGAGTCCACAGCCGGCATCGCTGCTTCAATTGTTCAAAGCAGCAGGTATTTTATGCGTAATTGTGATTTATGAAGTTAATTTTGATGTTAAACACTGGATCTTATCCAACAAAATCAACAGTAAACGAGAATAAAAGGACGAGGAAGAGAAGACGAAGAGCACCGAAACGCGGTCGGAGAAAGTTGTTCTTATTCGACTTCGCTGTCAATCCTGGAAATCAACAACAATTCGCGAATATTTGTTCATATCCATCGTTTTCTCTTCGATTATTGAGGTCGAGGCTTTTTTTTCGAGTCCACAGTTGGCACGATGGTTCAATTATTCGAAATTGCAGGTATTTTGTTTTTAATTGTGATTTTATGAAGTTAATGTTAATGTTAATCGGCAAAAAAATACCACAAAATAAACAGTAAACGAGAATAATAAGAGGAGGAGGAGAAGACGAAGAGCACCGTAACGCGGTCGAAGAAAGTTTTATTCGATTTCGTCGTCAAACCTCGAATTCAACAAAAAATTCCTGAAAATTTGTTCATATTCATCATTTACTGTTCGATAAATTGAGCTAGAAGGATTATACGATTGCACAGCCGGCATGCTGGTCCAATTGTTCAGCGTGCCCAATTATTCGAAGAATTAGGTTTTTTATATGTAATTGTGATTTTATGAAGTTAATTCTAATGTTTATCACTGGATCTGAAGTGAAACTCTTAAATTTGTTTGATAAGTTTATGATGCAGATTGGTTTCGTGAAAACCCTAGATGAACAAGTGACTGTGTGTGCGTGTAAAGTAGGTGAAAGGCAAGGGAAGCTGTCTAATTTATATTGTCTGTGTTTTTTGGCAGGTGGGAAGGAGTGGGAGAAGCTGATGATATCAAAAGGAAATGTTGTAATGGGAGTTCTGCTTTGCACATAAATAGCATTAAATAAATAGAATTCAGAAGATTATTGTAGTAAACTGTAGGCGGACATGAACTGTAGCTGCTTTGGTTCCTCAGTTGTGCATCGGAAAAAGGGCGATGTCCGTGCTGAGAGAGATTTAGAAGGTAATGTCATGCATCTTGCCTACTGGATGATTCAACTCTTATTTTCTTTGATAAATAATAAGTAATAGTGACGCAATCCTTACATCCTATGTCTTATTTTCTGTCTTTTTAGTACTATCAATGGGTTGTTTTTCAGTCTCATGTCTAGCAAATGAACCCACGAACTTCTTTTATATGTCAATTGATATTATTATTTAATTTGAAACAAGTGCTTATGATATGTGAATCAAATTTATGATTCTGTCTCTTGAAAATTGAAATGTTATGCTAAAACATTGCATGACATTGTATCAAGCACTTTCCTGGACATAATTATTCGTCTCTATTTGTGTTGTTTCCTCTTTTTCTTTGCATGATACCGTTGCATTTGACAAATCGATCATATGGAGACTTTGCTTAATGGTTGCTTTCTTGAATTCATAGAGAATCTTGTTTGCCAAGCATTGATGTTGTCCCATTGGTGCATTCATTCCTTTGTACTTCTTTTTATTTCCTACATCCTAGACACTTATACATTGGAATCTCTTCTTCTTCTCTCTTCCCCCCTCCCTCCGTCCCACCCTCGTTCGTTGTGACCGTGTTATCATCACTATGATATTTCTTATGTTCGATATTACAAGTATCTCATCATTTTTTCACCTTCAACTCAACTCAACAAAGTGTTGTCCCAACGTTTTTGGAGTCGACTACGTGAATGTTGTTTCACCGTCATGCTATCTGTTAAACCATAAGTTGTCTTAATTTTTTTCACCTTGTTTACTTTAATTATTCAGTTATGCAGGTTTAGCCGTGCATATCAAAAAGGTTTATTCAATTGATTCATCTAGTGGAATTGGTGCTAATAGTTATGGGATCCTTGAGGAAAACTCTGGATGTTTGTTGGTATTAGCTTGCTTACCTCGTTTTCTTCAGCTGGGACAGAAATAATGTATTAAGCATGCTGCAAGATTGCAGCCCTCAGTAATATTCAAAGATATTCACTGATGTTACAACTGTTTAGAAGCAGCTCTACACTTCATTGATCTTTCTAGAAGACAATACTCAATGGGTTCTTACATCTCTCGATTTTTTAATGAGATTGAACTGAGATATTTGAAAGCGACTATGTGGCACATTTAGTGCTTTCTCATCAATCTCATTGTTCACTTATTCGACTCAAAGATATCTACCAGATCAACACACTAGGGTGATATAATCTTCTTATTCCTCCTCGAGGTTCTAGCCAACAATATACAAGCATAATCAATGCAAAGGGATAAAAGTTAGCCAAGTTATAAGATGGAAAGCCTTCTGTTTTACTGGTCTTCCCATCTCTGTTTTCAAATGTTCATTATGGCTGCTACTATCATTTCTTTATTGAAATTGATCACCAAGGAGCTTGATCCCATGGTACAATAAATGATTTTTTGTTTATCTTCATGTTAGCTTTAGAGTGATCAAATCATCAATTATAGTTAAAAGAGAACCATTGGAACTGTATCAGTTCTTGATTTTATTATATACTAGTAAGTTATATTTGCTTGATACAGCATAGGAGAGGCCATAAACAGATGGTACATGATATGATTAATTATATAATGTGTTCCTCGTTCATTGAACATGACTTATATTTTAAACAGTGAATATAAAAATTTATTTATATTTTCATCTATGTTTTTATCTTCTTGTCTAGGGCTTGCAAAAGTGAAAAATTTCAAATACAATGAACTACGAACAGCAACAAATAATTTCCATCCAAGCAATAAGATAGGGCGAGGAGGTTTTGGGACAGTTTACAAGGTATTCAGTGTTACAAAAGTGTATTCTTTTTTGAAATTTTTTTTTGATTGCGTGGAGAGGTTAATATATGCTGCTTCTGTTGTGTTAGTTGTTAACTGTACCTTATTGGTAGGTTTTTTTGGCTTTTAGAAGAGTTGGTATTTTCTTGAACACTCTTTAAAGATAATTATCAAACGACACAGAATGAGTATTGGTTTTTTTTTGGAATACCCAGAGCGCAGTTAAAAACCAGCCCTTGCCTTGATGTTGAACTGAGGGCAGCCGCTTTCTGCAAAAAATGTCAAAGGTTATGTCTTTACCTAATCTACCCCACCTGGATGACACGACCCCATCAATGGGGACTAAACAGAGTGATATTTCTATTGAGCCATTAAACATTGCCTTGTCGTGGATTCTCGTTTCCCTTTTATGATATTGTGTTATGGAACTTTGTGTTTTTATTCCATAACTGACCCTCTTCACAAACCATTCAGTATATCCAGATTTCTGATACAATATGAAGGTATGAGGTTGTACGGTCACATACAAAACTAAAATCTAAACTCTAAATAATTTTGGTGGTAATCCATGCACGCCAGAGAAGGAGGTAACAAGATTGGTTTATTTTGCATGATCTTACGCATTTTTTTTTTTGGAGGGCACAATGTATTTTGAGTCACAAGTTGAAGAATATTAACCAAACAAAGAATTTGATTGCAAAATTTTCTCTGGTATAATAATCTCTAGCAATTATTTGACTTTAATGGAGTTTGAACTTTATTATCGCGGAGGTCATAATTTGATGGTAATGATTTTTTTTTTTTTTGGAGAGATTGAAGCACGAAACATAAGTAATATAGTACTTGGTGTTTTTCATCCCCTGCACATAAATGTTTCCCTTATTAACTCTGTTAGAGTGCTACTTCCCTATTGTTATACTTTTCTATTATGTCACTTTCATGTTATGTGATTTTCCTTTTATGTTCTTCTTTCCTAATATTATAAATAGGTGATAGGGTCTTGGCAACAGACACCCTACACACCACAGGATTTTAGACTCTCTTTCTTGCTCTCTCTTCTTCTTCTTCTCTTTCTTTTCCTTAACCCTAACATACAATTATTCAAGTTTTAACCAACTCCATTGCTATTCCATAGGGAATCCTAAAAAATGGAATACAAATCGCAGTGAAGACACTTTCTGCTGAATCAAAGCAGGGGGTGCATGAGTTTTTGACCGAGATTGATACCATATCAAATGTCAAGCATCCAAACCTTGTTGCGTTAATTGGATGCTGTGTTCATGAAACAAACCGGATTTTGATATATGAATACTTAGAAAATGGCAGCCTTGACCGCGCACTGTTAGGTGGGTTGAAAAGCTAGTATGGCATTTCAAGAGACTTCTAAAATCCCTATACACGATAGAGTACTGAAAATGTTTTTCTCTTGTGTTTCAGGTCCAAATAATAGAAACGTAAAACTGGACTGGACAAAGAGATCTGATATTTGCTTGGATATTGCTAAGGGTCTTGCATATCTTCATGAAGAACTTGTGCCGCATATAGTGCATAGGGACATCAAAGCTAGTAATATACTTCTCGACATGGACTTTACGGCAAAGATTGGAGACTTTGGGCTGGCAAAGCTTTTTCCAGATAACATCACCCACATTAGCACGAAAATAGCAGGAACAACGTATGTTTTCCTTTTCAAATTCCCATTTCCCACTTAAAGATTTGGCTTATTTTTTTGTGTAACATTGTACCTTCCTGCTTTTATCCAAAACCAGAAGATTCTTGCTGGTTGCGGTATTATTTGCTAGGCCTTTATCAATTAGTTTAAGGGAAATAAATTTTAACTGACAACTTGCTTCAAAGATGTCCCAAAATGGATGGAATTGCTTATTGCTTGAGGCCTTTAGAGGTACCACTAATGAAAATTGAGTTGTCTCTTCTGCCAATGTTAATAGCTGCCATGATTTCCACTGCCTATGTTTTGAACAGGAGAGTAAGATATCATAGTGTTGAATAGGCACGATTGTTATCGCACTGCCATATGACAGATTGAAATTGTATGATACAAAGCTTTTCATACTCTGCCACAACATTGAATGTATATCCAAAGCAAGGATCAAAATTTCGTTTCGAAGTACCGTTTCGGTCAACTCAAAAATAGAAACGTTTCGGAAACATTTCGGAAACGCAATGGAAACGCAGAAAAAATATGGAAACGCATAGAAACACAAATGCAATCCATTAATTTATAAAGATATGCTAAATAATTTATTAATTCAACATATTTATTAGGTTAACATCAATTTATACAAGAATAAATTTAAATTTGAGGGAAAAAAAGGCTTGACTTGAGGCGAAAGTCACTTAAATTAGTTTCAAACACTTAATTTTTATGAAATAAACACATTTTTACATAATATTAAGGTCTTATAATACACATGAAATGCTAATGAGTACATACTTACATGGTTACATCCATTCCTCTGTGGAGTGTCGAGCAGGCTCATACATCGGTGTAGGCTCTGGGTAACTACTTAGAGAAACTCCATATGTGACATAAATATGATGACAATAGTTACTCCAAATCATATTATTACGGTAATATAATCCAATTAATAATACTATTTTATTATAATACTAATAATGAAGGGTATCAAATTAAATTAATGATACTTATGTATACTTAAAAATTAAATGTAATTGCAGTGGGTATTAAATATAATTACAGTAGGTATTAAATATAATTACATTAGGGTATTAAATGTAATTGTTAATACTTATAACAAAAAAAAAAAGCAAAAAACTTGCACAGCAGTGAGGTATTAAATATAATTACAGTATGTATTAAATATAATTATAATGGGTATTAAATATAATTATAGTAGGGTATTAAGTGTAATTATTTATTCTTATAACAAAAAAATTATAAAAGACAGAAGAGCAGTGGGAATTAAATGTAATTATAGTGGGATATTAAATATAATTATAGTGAGTATTAAATGTAATTACAGTGGGTATTAAATGTAATTATAATGGGGTATTAAATATAATTATTCATAATGAACCGAATATATCACTGTTTTGTCGAAACGGTATTGTTTTGTCGAAACGGTACTGTTTCGATCGAAACGGTTCGAAACAATGCCGTTTCGATCGAAACGGTCCGAAACAGTACCGTTTCGACCGAAACACTGGAATTTTGTGATTCAACTACTGTTTCGTTTCGAAGTGTTGAAATTCCGAAACGTTTCGGACGTTTCGGACGTGTCGACACGACATTTTGATCCTTGATCCAAAGCAAAACCATAGGAGAAAGATTATGATAACATTCAAGCATTACAATGACTTAACAATGGAAAATAAAGAAAGAACGAGTTCTCTTAATTGTACATCACGTGGTATCGAAGAGAGATTTCTTCTGAAAGTGAAATCTGTACTTCCTTACCGTGCATCACATAGATGTGGACAGCAACCTTAATCCCTGTGGGCTATTTTTATTCCTAATATCCTACTACCAGAGCATTTAACTTAATTTAAACCAGCTGAAAGGAAGAGATTTACTTGGGGCCTCCTTATACATTTCTGATACACATAGAAGGCTGGTCGAACTTCATACTAATGATGGAAAAATGTTTTTGAGAACGTGACAGTTTCTCAAGTTAATTATTCCTAAAAATTTCTCAAGTTAATTACATGAGAAAACAGTTAATGAAAATTTCTGAAAACTTCATTTGTGTGTTGTATAAACAAAATTTTTGAATCACAATATCTGAAAGGAAAGTTTCAGGTCTTTTATACCTTTTTCAATATATGAAAATTATTTCTGAAAATTGAACCAAGCAGACCCTTGTTTGTTTTGCTGATGCCATTTCATTAAAAATTTTGAAAGACGCCATTTCATTTGGCATTATGAACAACTTTTGACTATGTGCAATGTTTTGAGAACAGGACCAACAGTCTATATGATTGAATCTTAACAGTCACATCAGGAGAGGGAGAAATTGAACTAATAAACAAGTTCCTGTGATGACTGCTAATGATAGTGCACCTATATGGTGTATATTGACCGGGATCACCTTGTGAAAGCCCAAATCTCTTGTTCTTAGTTATAAAATCTTTTCTGCTCCTGCCTGCTCTATTGAGATCCTCTTATCATGGTTTCAAGTTGATGATGACCTCTGACCTCTGACCTCTGTTGGATTTCTTGTTTTGGAACGGGATTATGGAGTTGGAGGTAGGGAGAGCTGCACAGAATTTGCAGCACCAATGGTATAATTTGCAGAGATGCATTTGGTCATGCATTTTAGCACGAGGCAAATTTAATGTAAAAATAGCTATCTGATCTCAATAAATGCCCCTCGCCCCTCAAGATTATCCATGTGAGAGTGGAAAAATATAGATGGATAGAAAGTTTTTACATTAATCCAAATATTAGAACTACAAAGTATGGAGACAGATTGACAGAAATTGACAAGAGTGATAGTGATTTGAAGTACTGAGAATGATAGTTGAAGCAGCGGTTTGCCCTTTGAAACTATTAGTGGGAAGTATCTAGGTTACAAACTTTCATGATGCTAACAACAAGCAATGGGTAAGTCAAAAGGGTATTAGCCTTTGCTGAATGAAAGCTTCACAGGAATTAAGGAATGCAGCACCATGATGGGTAAGTCAGAGGAGTAAAGCATACTTTGGTTTCGCTCACTAGTTTAACCAACTAGACCTTCCTAATCTTGACCAATTTTAACTTCGTGCGTCAAGTGCAATATTGTGTTTGCAATGTCATTAGGATATGGTACTTTCATTACTTGCATCTTCTTCGTTCCAAAAGATTGCTTTTTGTCTTGTTTTTGAAAACTTGCTAACTTACTCAACCTGCAGTAATTTGCACTTTTCTTATTTCCAATCAAGCCTGTGATGTCGATTGTTGGAAAAAAGCAGTTTAAAACACTTCTGTGTCACAATCAATGAAGATGTTTTTATGATTCGGGACTTAATAATGTAAAGATTGTGCAGTGGATATCTTCTTTCAAAATCGAGTTTTTTCCATGGAATTAATGGACAGAAACATATTCTTACTTGTGTCCTTGGGTCTTTTTTTCTCAAGCAGCGGTTATCTGGCACCTGAATACGCATTAGGTGGTCAGCTAACAAGGAAGGCTGACGTATACAGCTTTGGGGTCCTGATACTTGAAGTAGTAAGTGGCAGGAGCAATTCAAAGGAAAACTGGGGAGGGACACAGAAATTACTTTTGGAATGGGTGAGTCAGAATATTCAAGTTTTGACAAATTATTAGATCTCTACTGCTGTTCTGCTTATCAATATATTGCAGTCTTCTATGTACTTTTTTTTCTCTTGTGTGTAGCAATCTCTTATATTCTTTACTTTATCGTCACTTGTTAGTGTCTTCTATGTATTTTTTCTTGTCATTATTTATTTAGCATTTGAAAACTATTTTTATGTACTTTTGGTTTTTAAAATAATTTTTCAGTAACATTTGTTTTGCATTTTTTGCTTATTCCTCGTCTAGATGTGATCTTTTCGTCCAATCTTAGATGCATGCACAATAGGATACATATGCACATAACTCACTTACAAGATGGTGATCACACTTGGTTTTGTTTCTTTAACAAAGTTTTTATTTTTTGCTTGGATACAATTACATTAAAAAAGCATTATCAAACGCTACATTAGTTAGAAACTGACAATCATGTTCGTGCTATCAAAATAGCCTTTTGTTGTTAAAGAATTAGTTGGAAGTCTGGAATGCCAATTACTTGAAATTTCATATTCTTGGATTTAAGCGTATGATTTCTTTCTCTGGTAAATAGACTTGATGAGATACAAATTAGTTCTTTAATGAACTGATGTTCAGTTGTTCTGGTGAGGCCGACAAATTTTTTGCAGTTGACCCTCCTTAATAACAGAAATAAGCTTCGGTGATTTGCTAGTTATCTGGCTACTGACCTTTTTCTTAATTAAATTCTCGCAACTTGGTTCTATGGTGCATTGGATAGCTTATTCCTGTCAAACATATGGTCTGCTTCAACAGGCATGGCAGCTCTATGAAGAAGGGAAACTTTTAGAGGCAGTGGATCCAGAACTGGAGGAGTATCCTCCTGAAGTCATTATCAAGTACATGAAAGTTGCGTTTTTCTGCACACAAGCAACTGCAAGTCGGAGGCCAATGATGAGCCAAGTTGTTGACATGCTTTCAAGAAACGTAAAGCTCAATGAGAAGCAACTCACACCCCCCGGCTTCTTCCAGGATTCAGGTGGCACTAGTGGGGAACCATCGGATAAAAAGTCAAATGAAAGCTCTACAACCTATCAGATGAGCTCTGTCCCTGTCAGTATCACTCAGTTGACCCCTAGATGAAGATTGAAGCCTAAAATTGTTATTGAGCCTGCGGGATTGGCTTATGCGCATTCTTTTCTCCACTAAATACGTCATTTTCTTTTTTCTTATGATTTTTTTTTTTCAATTTTCATTTGCTTTTGTTTCATTTTTTTTTTTTAAACATGTTCTTGTGGAGAATAGGGTGGGTGGGAGGAAGGTGGAAAGAGAAGAGAAGGAGGAGCTAGTTTTCAATTTGTCTACAAATAGAATCAACAAGTTCATTGCGGATTTTTCTTCCTTTATTTTTGGAAGAATAAAATGAAGAATTTTATTGAGTAATCCCATCTCTCACACACACAAACACGCGCGTGCTTGCCCGTGCACACGCTAACTATGATGATTGGGGAATCGTTTGAAACTTATATATTTGTTGTGTTTAGAATGTCATTTATCTAGTCAAAGATTAATGTGAGACATTCTATTACTTGAAAATTTTCAGTTTATAAATATAATTGTTGAACAAGTGTTGTATTTAAAGAGATGTACCTTAAAAGCGAGTTTGTTGACCCCAGTTTTTAAATCTATTTTTTAAAATTTTTTTATAATTTGATAAATAAGTTTAAAAGTATCATAAATTGATAAATATGTTGACAAATTATTCCATTGATAATTGATGCTTCAAAATTAAAAGTGTTTTTGTTTTCCTTTTTTCAACACAAAATTTCTCAGTATCACCTATAAAAAACAACAAAAAAATAAATAAATCAAGCAGTTCGTGTCAAAAAAATACTTCATTAATACTCAATTTATTTATTAATTTGTATTTAATGGGTTGTATCATATTAAATTTGTGTCGTGTATCAGTCATATATAACTTGTATATAAATGAATCATATTATGTATTTCATTTAATTGATTTTCACGTATACTTGATTCATTATTAATCACTCATTTATAAAATAAATAATTTAAAAAAAGACTTAAACCCTAACGAGAGTGGTTATATTTTCCCACTCTCACTGAGGAAGTTGATCAGAATACTTTAATACCACGTTGTTCAGATCAGAACCTTCGTCCGGGAATCGTGGTGCTTGCGTTATTTATTCGCCTGAAAATTAGGAAGCACCACTTCGTCTCCACCATCTGACTTTTCCAAGTCTTTGCTTTAAAATAATCAGAAGATCCAACGGTGGCTGATAGAGCAACTTAGTGGGGTCCACTGATAGAATTCAATTATAGCTTTTCATATTGACTCTCTTCAGCTCGACCGTCCATTACCTTAGTCATTAAGTATGATGGTAAAACTTATCTCATAATCTGTACTATATATAAAACACTTGTACCAATTGTTTGTTACGCAGGTTATAACCATATAAAAAATCTCACACTCACATAGCATACATCACAAGGTATGCTTGTTGAGTCTGTTTACAAATATATACTAATAACCTAGCATAATAATCCCTCAAAAATATCATATACAACCCAACAATTGGTCATACCAACACTCAACCTGAGTGATATCACACTAACATTGTACAATACTCAATCGACTGGACAGTAGACTGATCTGCATCTTCATCTATAGTACCAGAAAAGAGAAGCTATAGGGGTGTGAGTTAAACTACGCGCTCAGTGAGTATTTATGTTGTATATGAAATGAAAATGATAGTAATACACTGAAGTAGTTAGATATTACGTAGATACACGCATCAAACAACAACATTAATCCAATTCTAATAAATTTACAAGCCACATCACATCTATACTACCCCTCATTGGGTAATCGATCCCACATGGATCCGTGTATCTCCCGAGAACACCACAGTGCTAGCACACCATTGTACGCCTAGTGATCAAGCATCGAGATCTCTGTCTCAAACAATGCGCCACATTCCACAATACATGATACATTGTACAAAGCATCATTCAATCACATAAACATGTAGCATATAATCCTGGAGAATTGCTATTAAATTCTATTATTTACTATCATCTTATAATAACATTTACAAAACATATAAAGAGATGTACACCCACCTCAAATATACATATCTACAGCCTTTCGGTTCTATCGGTGAATCCTTTCGGTGTTACTGTATTTGTTTTGATACCGACTGTCTCACCTGTTTCACCTAACATATGTGTTATTACAATATCAATATGTTTATCACACTTAATAGTTAATTATGCACTAATGCATGCAAAAATGATGCACCCAAAGTGCCCTGGTAACTCCGATTACCGCACTATCTACTCGCACATTAGCATTTTTATTATAGGGATCGCATTTCCTCCCCAAATTTCTAAAATCACTCACATTAATCATAATTGCGATTAAGTAGGTCAAACACATTGACCAGGAGCCTATTTTCACACATTTTGATCCCGAATTCTAAAAACTGCACTTTTGACATTTCATACATTTAGCACTGGATATTATACTCATTTGCATTCGAAAGTCACATTATCATATCAAGCATCATTTAAAAAGGTTGCTTGCAAAATTTTGGGTCATTTGGATTTAAATTCACACATGTGATAATAACATTTAGAAATCAGAGTTTCGGCATTATCGGTACCATTTTTCAACCTCTATCACTCTTTTCTTTTAACACTACTACACTTAAATTCTCATACACGTTTAATCAATGTAAAACAACCCCTAATTGAACCTTTAAACCACCCATTTCACTTCCATAATTTCGGTTTCTACCTAGCCCACTAAATGCTTCTCGAATACCTAAAATGGTCATTTCCACACTTTTCGTCCACTCGATTGAATACTCATTTAACACCTATTCTTAATAGCCCCTAAATTTTGTTTAACACCCTTAATAAAATCTATTTTAAATTTAAAATAAAATAGCCTATTAATTTAACACAAAATAGCCCACAATTTATGTTTAAGACACTTAATTTAAACTCACAAAAATATGTTTTGAAATTAAACTAATACAATCCATTAAAATTAACCAAAACATTCCATGAATTAAATTAAAATAGTCAGTAATTTAAAACATGTTAAAACAACCCACACATATACAAATACATATATACTATAATTAATCACAACTTATACTTAAATTGAGTCTCACATACCTTCCTTACTCACGGTTCAAATGGACACTCACCCATATACCTTTTTCTCCTTTCTCCTTTACTCTCCCTCACTCTCGGCTTCCAGCAGGCAAGAACACACACACACACACACTGTTTTATAAATTAAACACACACATTTTTCTACACCATTTATTACACACACACACACTCCCTTGCACCTCAAAACACACACACACACTCGCACTTGGCACGCACACAACCACCCACTTAGCAGTCCACATGACCCATTTTTTTTCATATGCTAACACATGTAAAGGTGTTGCATGCAAATTCAATAATTATGCTTGCCTCTCTCCAAATTCTTAAGTGATTTCAAAATCAACCAAATACTATTTTCGTACATAAAATTCCATCTAATAAATAATTTCACATAATTGCAATTTTTTCACATAATTATGCTAATATGTATGCAATGCATGATTGAGTCTCATAACTCTCCCCTACTAATAAAAAATTCGTCCTCGAAATTACTTACCTGCACTAAATAAATGTGGATATTGAGTCCGCATACTCTCCTCAATCTCCCAGGTTGCTTCCTCTACTGAGTGACTACGCCACAAAATCTTTACCAAATGTATCGTCTTCGTACGTAATATTTTCTCATTTCTATCTAAAATCTGAACTGCCTGCTCTATATAAGTCAAATCCTCGACTAATTCCATCGATTCTGAAGTCAACACATGTGATGGGTCAAACAAGGATTTTCGTAGCATAGAAACATGAAATACATCATGCAACCTGGACAACTCCACTGTTATCTTCAATCGGTATGCAACAGTTCCAATCCGCTCTAAAATACTGTACGAACCAATATACATGGGAGCTAACTTCCTTTTTCTGCCAAAACGAATGACCCTTTTCCAAGGTGATACTCGTAAAAATACTTGATCACCCACCTCGAATTCTAAGTCACGTCGGTGATCGTCAGCATAACTTTTTTGCCTGCTCTGTGCGCTTCGTAATCTTTCCTGTATAACTTTAATCTAATCAGTAGTCATTTGCACAATCTCTGGACCCAATAACTTCCTCTCACCCACTTCACTCCAACACATTAGGGTTCTACACCTCTTCCCATACAAAACTTTATATGGTGCCATCTCAATTGAACTCTGGTAGTTGTTATTATAAGCAAATTCAATCAAAGGCAAATAATTATCCCAGTTTTCTCTAAGGTCCATCACATAAGCTCTTAGCATGTCGTTCAATTTTTGATTAGTATGCTCCGTCTATCCATCAGTTTGTGGGTGAAATGTTGTACTAAACTTTAAAGTAGTACCCAAAGTAGTTTGCAAGCTAGGCCAAAACCTTAGCGTAAAACGTGGATCTCTATTAGAGACAATAGATACAAGTACACCATGCAGTCTCAAAATTTCATCAATGTACAATCTAGCTAGCCTGCCAAGAGAATATGACATCTTAATAGCGCTAGAAAATGAGCAGACTTCGTCAACCTATCAACTATCACCCAAATGGCTTCATATCATTTCTGCGTATAAAGGCAAACTACTCACAAAATCCATAGGGATATGTTCCCATTTTCATTCTGGAATCAGTAGAGACTGTAATAACCCGACTGGTCTCTGATGCTCAGCCTTCACCTGCTGACATATCAAACATCGAGCCACAAACTCAATTATCTCTCATTTTATTTCAGGCCACCAATAATGCTCTCTCAGGTCATGATACAACTTTGTACTACCTGGATGCATAGCATATGCTTAACTGTGTGCTTCCTCCAGAATCTCTCTTTTTAACCCTGCATCATTTGGTACACATAACCGAGAACCAAGTAACAAAACATCGGCACTATCAATAATAAAATCAATCTTCACCCCAGTCTTCAATTTCTGAATCTGAAGATCAAACAGTTGTGCCACTTAGATCCTATCCACCAGCACTGGTCTCAAAATTAGTGT